TGCAGATACCTTTTTTCAACAACATAAATGGTGACTTTGCACATGGACCTCAGCAGATGGAATACCCATAGTAATACTTTGGTCATAATATACACTGTTAGTGAAATAATTCATTCCTTCATTCACCAAATACTTATTAGGCACCACTATGTGTCAGGAATCCACTGAATGACACAGGAAACATCAAAAGAAGATGGAAAGAGTACACAGAGTCACTGTATCAAGAAAAATTGGTCTACATTGAACCATTTCAGGAGGTACCACATGATCAAGAACCAATGGTATTGAAGGAAGAAGTACAAGCTGCACTGAAGGTATTGGCAAAAAACAAGGCTCTGGGAATTGACAGAATACCAATAACATGTTCCAACAAACTGATGCAATGCTGAAAGTACTCACTGATCTATACCAAGAAATTTGGAAGACAGCTACCTGGGCAACCAACTGGGAGAGGCATATTAGTGCCCATTCCAAAGAGAGATGAACCAACAGAATGCAGAAATTAGCAAAGAGTATCATTAATATCACACACAAGTAAAATTTTGCTGACAGTAATTCAGTAAATGGTTGCAGCAATACATTGACAGGCAACTACCAGAAATTCAAGCCAGATTCAGAAGAGGACGTGGAACAAGGGATATCACTGTTGATGTCAGATGTATCTTGGCTGAAAGCACAGAATACCAGAAAGACATTTATTTGTGTTTTATTGACTATGCAAAGGCTATGATGTGTGGCTCATAACAAATTATGGATAACATTTTAAAGAATGGCAATTCCAGAATACGTAATTGTACTCCTGAGGAACCTGTATATAGACCAAGAGGAAGTCATTCAAATAGAACAATGGGGTACTACGTAATTTAAAATCAAGAAAGGTGTGTGTCACAGTTGTATCTTTTCACCATACTTATTGAACCTGTATTCTGAGCAAATAATCCGAAAACCTGGACTATATGAAGAAGAATACAGCATCAGGTTTGGAGGAAGACTCATTAACAATCTGCAATATGCAGATGACACAGCCTTGCTTGCTGAAAGTAAAGAGGACTTGCAGCATTTACTGATGAAGACTGAAGACTATAGTCTGCAGTATGGATTACACCTCAACATAAAGAAAACAAAAATCCTCACAACCAGACCATTAAAAAATATCATAATAAATAGAAAAATTATTGAAGTTGTTAAGGATTTCATTTTACTTGGATCCACAGTCAACACCCATGGAAGCAGCAGTCAAGAAATTAAATGATGTATTACACTGAGCAAATCTGCTGTAAAAAGACCTTTTTAAAGTGTTCAAAAGCAAAGACATCACTTTGAGGGCTAAAATGTGCCTGACCCAAGTGCTGGTACTTTTAATTGTCTCTTATGCATAAGAAAGCTAGGCAATCCATAAGGAAGACCAAAGACGAACTGATGCCTTTACTTATGGTACTGGCAAAGAATATTGAATATATCATGGATTGCCAGAGAATGAACAAATCTATCTTGGAAGAAGTACAGCCAGAATCCTTCTTAGAAGCAAGGATGGTGAGACTTTGTCTCATGTACTTTGGACATATTATCAGGAGGGACCATCCCTGGAGAAGGACCTGATGCTTGGTAAAGTAGAGGGTCAGGGGCAAAGAGGAAGACCCTCAAGAAGACAGAGTGGCACAGTGGTTGCAACAATGGGCTCAAACATAGCAACAACTGTGAGAATGGTGCAGGACGTGGCAGTGGTTCGTTTTGCTCTGCATAGGGTCCCTATATGTCTGAACTGACTTGACGGCACCTAACAACAACAGTGTGTCAGCACTGTGGTTACTGTTGGTGATACAGAGACACGGTGTCCCTCATCAGTGGAAGTATAAAATTGACCAGTTCTACTGTCTTAGGATTCAAATTCCATTTGTATTACTTCAAGCAAGTCATTTCACGTGGGAACATCAGGTTGCCATGCAGGAAATCTCTAAGCTCCTTCCA